GGGGGAGGCTGTCCCGCGCGAGGCATTGTGGGACCAGCGGGGAAGATGGCGGACGCGTTCGGGGACGAGCTCTTCAGCGTGGTTGAGGAGGACTCCGCCGCCGCCGCCTCCGGCGCCAAGAAGAGCAAAGCGGGCGCCACCGAGGGCGCCAGGAGACCGGGGTGAGGGCGCGTTGCGTCCCGGGAAGCCGGGCTGGGGGTGCTCTGGCGGCTGAGGCTCGGGCCGCACTGCTGGGCCCGGCTTCTGCATGCTGCTTTGAGCTACTGAACCCCCTCGGGACCGGGAGGCAGTGCAGCCTAAAGGGACGCGCTTTCCGGGGATCCCTGGCCCCGCAGCTGTAGCCGGCCCAGGGACAGAGGGCAACTGGGGAGCCTGGGGACCTGGGGGCAAGCTCATGCGAGAAGTGGTTTGAAAACCCACGCGGTTTTCGTGGATGCAGTTCCTCGGGTTGTGTCCTGAATGCAGTGTGAACGCCGTTGCCTGTAGGACACCTGATTTCTTTATACATAAAAGACGCAAGCTTTAATTTTTTTCTTTATTTATGTTGCAGAAAACGATCGGAGGAGAAATCTTCAGTAGCTGCGACAGGGAAGGCCAAAAGGGAAGTTGAGGTCGGCAGTACTGAAGATGCCGTTTTGGGAAAGAAGCCAAAGTTGGAAGATCTTGTATCAGAAGATGCTAAGTAAGTGCCCAGCTTAATGTGTAAGGAAATCATGGCAAGGCATACTGATAAAGTATGTGCCAGTTTTGAATAGTCAATGTAAGTAGCTTTGCAGTGTTTGCATATAAAGATTAATTTTCATATGAAGTTTATAATTCCGTTATCTAAATAAGTGAGCATGTGCTGGTAGGACAGCTTCAGCCATCATGAGTGCTGAGTGTGTTCAAAGTAATTTTTGTGGACAGATAGGCAACTGCAGTATGAAGTGTTCATGTATTTGTGGTTACTGCCTATGGATCCGTGGTTCCTGATGAAAGCCATCATGTTGATTTCAGGCACGTAGCAAGAGATGAGCAGTGAGGCATATGGGAGGAGGCAGGCTCGCTGTGTACCATGCCACTGAAAGACAAAGTTGGCTTGGGAATACAGAAAGAATAATTTGACCAAGGAGACAGGGACAAGGCTTTTGAGGCATGTGAGATTATACCTGCAGCAAATATTGGGAATCTTAAGTACAGACATGCTTTTAAATTTGAGCATAAATCACAGGTATTTGAGGTGCAAGTTTTTAACATGTTACAAATCCCAAAGCAGTAGCTAAAGTAGATTTATATAGTAGTAAAATTTTAGCACTTAGAAATATTCTTAGTGCTGGTAGTAGTCTCTGTCAACTGTCTGTTTCAAGTCTGTGCATTCTTTTTTTAATGTTGCAGTTACAGTAAAGGTGAAGTTCAATGTTTTTGCATTTATGAAGAAAAAACAGGCTTTTAAAATATCTATTTGGCAATCCTAACTCATATGTTTTTAGTCTGGCAGACCTGATGCCTCAAGTAAAGGTGCAAGCTGTGGAAACTGTTGAAGGTTGTACACATGAGGTGAGTGCAGTGAAAATACGTATGAAAAGTATAGGCTTGTTTTGCAGAATTATATGTATTACTGCCTGCGTAATAATATTGTTTCTTGCATTTGTACTTATTATATCATAGAATTATTTAGGTTGGAAAAGATCTTTAAGATCATCAAGTCCAGCCATTAACCTAGCACTACCAAGTCCACCACTAAACCATGTCCCTAAGCACCACACCTACCCATCTTTTAAATACCTCCAGGGATGGCGACTCAACCACTCCCCTGGGCAGCCTGTTCCAATGCTTGACAGCCCTTTCAGTGAAGAAATTTTTCCTGATATCCAATCTAAACCTCCCCTGGCACAACTTGAGGCCATTTCCTCTCATCGTATTGCCTGTTACCTGGGAGAAGAGACCAACACCCACCTCACTACAGCCTCCTTTCAGGCAGTTGTAGAGAGCAACAAGGTCTCCCTTCAGCCTCCTTTTCTCCAGGCTAAACAACCCCGGTTCCCTCAACCACTCCTTGGAAGACTTGTGCTCCAGACCCCTCACCAGCTTTGTTGCCCTTCTCTGGACACACTCCAGTGCCTCAATGTCCTTCTTGTAGGGAGGGGCCCAAAACTGAACACAGCATTTGAGGTGCAGCATCACCAGTGCTGAGTACAGGGGAAAGATTGGTTCCCTACTCCTGCTGGCCACACTACTTCGGATGCTAGCCAGGATGCTACTGGCCTTCTTGGCCACCTGGGCACACTGCTGACTCATATTCAGCCCGTTCTTGACCAGCACCACTGGGTAGTAGCGTTGCATGGGGTTGTTGTGACCCAAGTGCAGGACCTGGCACTTAGCGTTGTTGAACCTCATCCAGTTGGCATTGGCCCATCGATCCAGCCTGCCCAGATCCTTCTGTAGGGCCTTTCAGCCCTTGAGTAGATACATTATTTCATATTATATTTAAGGTAGAACAGGCCCGTAAAGAGCTTGAGGTCTGTATCTAGCATTGAGCATGCACAAAATGAGAAATTAATAGGA